ATGAGTGAAAGAACACAAATACAGACTGACAAAGAACTTACATGCTAGGAGAAGTGGTGCCCAAAGGAAGCAATAGAGAATAGACAGTGGTGGCATCTAATACTAAACACATTTATTTCTCTCCCTCCAAGTTTAAAGTGTTGTTCCAAGAATGATCTGAATTAAGATATAGCCGAGCGTGTTGACCAATTCACCTATCTTGACAGTTTTATTAGTCCTTAAAGATTGGTGCACGATGGGATATTGATTAAGATTAAGAAACCTCACTTGGTTTTCGCGAATTTGAGCGCACTACTTAGTGAGTGAGATACCTATTAGTCTACTAAGGGTCATTCATATGATAGTCAGTCAGCTACAACGTAGGACCAGGCATATATATGCACCGGTCCAAGTTGCCACAAGTCATTAGCACAACAAGATTAATATCGAATTCCTACAAGTAGTTAATTCAGAGGTGGTAACATATAAAAGAAAGATTGGATATAAGGACATAGTACAGGAAGAAAGAATTAGTCCGTAGAAAGAAAGATATGAAGCGATTTTATTCTCTTAGTTTAAGGGATGACAGAGAGTGCATACACCTACACAATTGTGATCGATTCTGAGCCATGTCACCCAGAGTCTCCAACCATTGGTTACGATAGCCTCGCGGACCCCAAACAAGTAGTCTACATTCACCAACATGGCTTAGACATGAAGTCAGTGATGTTACGGACTGATGCTACGTTTAGGTTTGGCCGCTCCTAACTTTCTTCCAACTGTCTCCAACACTAGTTAGCATTGCGCGTCGTGGTAATGTGTTCAGGGGGGAGAAACGCATCCCAAACATCCCGGTATTGTTGCTCAGTGCTAAAAAAACTGTATTTCATCAGCCTTTTCACCAAACAGAACTATATCTTCTGCTTATCCTAAGTCGATAAATGGACCTCCCAGAAGATCGATTCCCGAAGATTCGGTCGACGAGAACGCTATTTCGGGCAGTAGCTCCATGGTGAAATTAAGTAAAGATGGTGATAGTGGATAGCCTTACCCGACACCACTTGAGGTTGAAAAATCAAATGACAATTCGCCATAAGCTCTGACTCGACTGGTAGTGTTCGAGTAGGGAGCCCTCACAAGGTTTATGTACTTCTGAGGTACATCTTTCAATGACAGACACTTTCACAGAACCTCTCGGTCAACAGAGTCAAATTCTGCTTTTAAGACAAGAAAGACAACCATTATCGACGCCGATAAGCATGCCTGTGTTCTAGAACCTGACTAATGGTGAATGTGTGATCGGTGCAGCCACAATCAGGTTTGAAGCCAGCCTGATTTTCACGTGTTTGCAGTTCACGAGTCATAGTTAGGCGCCCGATAATTAATGAGGCTAGTATTTTAGGTGTTATGTTAGTCAAACTAATCCCTCTATGGTTATCACATGATTCTGACCCCTTCTTATATATTGGGACAATCAGGGATTGTGACCAGTCAGATGGGATTAAGCCCAACTCCCAGATTTTAGCCAAAATGCTAGTCAACCTAATCGCTGAAACTGGACAACCATTCTTAAAGATCTCTTGAGCCAATCCATTTGGACTAGCTGCTCTTCCCCACTTCAGATTAGCTATAGCCTTTTGAACTTTAGCTAGAGTCGGGGGATCTATTCAATGCTCCATTCACGTTGTCTGGGAATGGTGGGTAGTTGTGGAGTTGCTGAAGGCCAGTTGAACTGTTCTCTAAAGTGTTCCGCCTATTGTTGTAAACGTCTGGGCTGAGAGTAGACAAGAGTGTCGTCTTTTTCCGAGATCGTCTCACTTGCAATTAACTTATTAATTCCAGTTTCTTTTGTTAGTCCGAAGAGCTGTCTTGTGTTACCTACAGCTGCCGCCTTTTCAATCCCCTTTGCTTTCGCTGCCCAATTTATAGAGTAGTCTTCGTCTTATTTTATGGCTACGAAACGTGGCCTCGATAAGTCGGTTGATGAAACTATCAATCTTTATAAAGTGAGATGGTTGAGGTGTGTTACATACCCTCAGAGACCGTCCAAAGCGACATGCAATGACGGCTGGGAAAAAGCTAGGGACGCCCAAACCAAGGCAGCAATTGTTTATGAAATCACTGACTGAAACGGAGTCGTATTGGTAGGTGCTGATTAAATGATTGAAATCTAAGTGATAAGTTGTTGAAGCTCTTGGGCCACTTGTTTCAGGATCCGTTGCAGTGTAGCAGATACACTCTTAGTATTCTTCTCAACATACCTTGTCTTCATTCCTTTTTTAACGAACAATATATGTTCAGTATTTGATTCTTCTCAATATTATTATGAACTTTTCATTATCCATCTTATTAATTTTACTTAGTTGTGTTAATTTGGTATAGCAACTTGGTCTAGTGCGAATTTACTCCAAGCTTTACGTTGATTATGACTGACCAGAGGTGTAAAAGCATGTTTATGACTTTTTCTGATATTAGTTAGTAAAAATGTGATCTATTCATTTTCCTTATACTTGTTATTGGAAATTACTTCAACAGAGATTCAACAAATGACTACCACAACTCTTTTCAGGGATATAATAAAGTTTAGTTGGAATTTCTTAATCCAAAACTTTGGATGATTATAAAAACCTTCCATAGATCTTATTGTTTTGTTCAATCACTTGAATTTATATCAGCTTTAGTCAGTCAATCGTCATCAGTGTAGTGTTAGTTTAAATCTTCATACTATATTAGTATGATGATGGAACTAAAAAGCTACATATTAGGAGAGATTAAATAATGTGGCAGTATTGACGATGAAAAAGAGTAAGCATTGAGAATATAGTTCGAAAGGAAATAGTGAGAGTAAATGTGAAGGAATACTGGATTTCATGATCGAGAGGAAGATTAAGAGTAAATGCATCTACGCCATTGTAAACAATTATGATCAATGTGACTAAAAGTCTCCAGACATTGATTAGGGCTATCTCATGGACCCCAACTACGTAGTGTGCAAAACTATCATATATTCCAATAGTTAATGAATTTATGGACTGTCATCACTTCATGATTTGACGATAAGTGAACCTCTTGGTTCGAGATTGCCCCCCTATAGAGGAAGAACATGTTATTTCTAAGAATATATCTACGATGAGATTAAATAGAAAGAGAGATAGTGAACAGTCGTGAAAAACACCACTCGATGTTGACTATTTCAACAATAATTTGCCGTCAACACTGATAACCAATGGTGGTCGAGCAGGGTCTTCACAAGGTTGATACACTTTGTTCCATATTTTAATTACAATCAGTCATAAAATCTCTTCGTTAACAGTAGAAAGCCAATTTGATGTCACGTAATAAAACTATGGTTGGGCGTCGGTAAGTATCCTTGTGCTTAAAACCTGGTGAAGAGTGAACATCTAGTAATTACATTCACATCCATGTCAGAAGCTTCCCAGTTAAACAACTTTGCTCTTACCAAGTACTAGATAAGAATTTGATAATTATAGAATACAGAAGTTTCAACACTACTACGTTTAGTTGCCAAACTCGGTCAACTTAGCGGCTAAAAGTGGACTACCACCATAAAAGACCTCGGGGGGTAGTCCACCAGGACCGACTCAAATTCCTCGCTTTAAGTTACCTAAACTTCCCGAAGATCACAGTGTCCTGTAAGACTTATTCTTTTACTCCGTCTAAGCTACAGTCATTATACATATAGGTAAAAACAAGGAAGGAATGGCTCGTGACTTTGTCACTCTTAACTCCTGTTGTAACATAGAGACGGACTGCATACAAGCAACTTTCGAAAACGATCCTGCCGAGAGGTGCTTTTTCTGATTTCAAATTCACTGTTGTGCTCGCACCGGAAAAAATTCACTAACATGTCTTCAGATATACAAAAGGTATATGAGTTTGGCTCAACTTACTGGTCAGATGAGGTCAAGTAAGTGACCACACTAGGATTGTTCGTGCGTTTGAGACACGATTATTGACATCCACGCTTAACTCGGGTTCAACAGTACCTTGAAAAACAATAGTCCCATGGACCAGTTAAGTCATGTCACTAAGCACAAAATTGGAAGAAGTTCGGACAAATAACATATAATAAAGCAGCTGGAATAGTTTGTATGATAACGAAACTTAGTAGACAGACAAGTTAGCTAGGACCATATTTAAACTACCGAAAGTTATAATACGGCCAGGAAAACGTTTAGAACACTCACCGGTTGCATTAGGATGTTCGCATTCTACTGCTACTGAAGAATGGTGGTCATTTGGAAGTGAGTTGAGGACAGGTAGACGTTTGTGAAAATCATCGGCAAAAAACAATCCCCCTGAACTTGAAGTCTTAGATATTGCAGTTGGAGTATTAAGAACTTCATTTGCATCAATAAGAAAAAACTTTGTGGCGTCGGATGCTGTTTTGGGAGTTTCACCTGAATGAAATGAATCGAAAGACACGTGATAATCGTCTAATGACTGTGCTCCGGAGATTTCATTGGCCATATTCTCAGGAAGTATTTGATTTACAATTTCCAGATATGTAAACAACCAACGTCGGATTTCCGTTTACTTCATCTGGTAGGGAGAATTCGTGAAGCACATAACATCCATCAATCGTGAAATAAGGAGAATTAGAGATCCGAACTTTTTAGGAAGAAACTCAGATAATATTAACCCTGAAAACTACTTTGGCAAGATATAGTCACGCAGATTGTGCCTAGATTTGATTGAAAAGAACAGGTCACTTGAAATTTTTACTGCAATGTAACTAGGGTCTAGTAAGAAATAAGGTTATTCCAATGGATCTTCTGCCTCTTTGGAAGTAATAAATAACACGTCAGTTGATGATCCATGATGATAAACAGTGTTGGAAGCCAAACATATAAATTAAGGAGAAATATTATCTTAACGATCAGTAGGCAAACGAAACCGGGAGTACCCTCCAAGGTCACAAGATCGAACCAATAAGAACGCGAAAACAAGGTTTTTCTTTTCAAGGTCAAAAACGACGGAAATAAGCGCTTCGTTTAATTATGCATATGGAGCTACTTGTTGAAATGCATAGCAATCTTAGTGCGGTATGTTAAATTTTTTTGTAAATGCTACAAATTCCAATACAGTATCAACGATTTCCTAAAATTTTCAAAACTTTTTAATCTTCATCAGGCTCACTTTAATGAGCGATGTGCTAAACAGTGTATGAAGGTTGGAAATATCGACGGAGCGATCTATTACTATAAAAAGTCTATTGGTAAGCAACTAATGTTCTTTCGGCACTCGATCTAATGTCAGTTTTCACTTATATGTGTGGTCAATATTTATGCTTTTAACTTTGCTGGCATTCGAACGTATATATATATATATATATCAATGAACCAAAGTGATTATATAAATCGTAGTCATCACTGTCTCGTTTCTGCATATGTTCGTATTTTTTATGGTGCTTTAAGAATTCTAGACTGTCTACTGATGCTTTTTAGTTTTTATACTAATAAGTATAGTCACTTTCTTTTCGACACTCATCTTGTTACGATTCCGTGGTTATGCTTTTGCTAAACGTGTGGCAACTTCTATCGCTTCCTATTTACACTAGTTACGGTGCTGTTTGTGTTTATCTGCTCAGTTCAAATGCAATCTGGATCTATAAATAAAGCCACTAATCCTAGGAATTATCCCAACTTGAACTGCTCATGTGTAGCACAGTGCTATTTTCTCCTTAGTCTATATTAAGCCTATAACTATCAAACTTTCTATTACTTTCTAAAGCCTTCATGGAGCTAACGCGAGACGAAGTTGAAGAGGGCGATCATGATTATGTAATAATTGATTTACAGTTATCATCACTGAAACTGAGCTTAAGTGAGGCGGTATCGAGGAAGACAGAAATAATATCTGGTGACCAGAACGTTTCTTTGAAGACAATCCCTGCTGACCATTCATTTTATAACAGAAAATCAGCTGACTCTCCGTCATACTTACCTTTATCCTCAAATCAAATGTCCAATAAAAAGGAACAAGGAGCTGCTGTTAAACTTCCTAAAACTGAATTTCAAACACGTGAAGAATTAGTTACCTGTATCGAAGAACTTCGAAAACTTGTGAGTTTTTTTTGAGGAAAAAACAAATATTTATCCAACTTAATCACTTGTTCAGAAAAGTTTCCTAAACTCATAATCTCATCTCTCCTCACCCAGCGAAAACTGCATATCCTAAGTCAAACTTTTGTCAGAAACAAGCAAGACAATTACTGCGTTTTCGACTTCACACCTTTAATCCATCAAGGGTCACTTATCTAATGTTTCAGATTTGTGAAAATGAAAACGTTATGCCTCTTTATTGTTTAAGATCACAATAAATTGTGAATAGCAACGAACATAAACTTGTTTCTCAGCTTCTGTTCTGTTTGTCTGTCACGCTACCTAATCTAATAAGAGGGTTATTGTAAACCATATTTTCATTGTAATCTATCTGGCGTCTCATCTTGTCACGGTCGTTAACTCCTGGATAGATTAACTCATCCATGAATAAACGTGTATAGGGTATTTGGCGACTTTTAGATCTTCGGGATTATTTTTACCCATACTCCTGAGTAGTTTTCAAAAGCTAGAAATTTCTTCGAACCCGACTATATAGTGAAATTTTTGTGTTTGTATATATAAATCAACAATGTTGTAGAGGGTATACTAATTCATAATTAACCTAGAAGGTTTGATTTGACGTGAAGATAGCAGTAGTTTTGATTAGAAACTCCTAACCGAAATTTCAGAATATTTTATGGAGTTCTGGCGAATAAATATTTGTTGAGACACTCATCCTAATGAGTTTTGAGCAGGATGGTGAATATAGATAGGCTGAAGAAAATTGGTTACAACTGTTTTGAGCAATAATCTGAGAGAAATATAAATTCATTTAGATAAATAGTTGACATTTTATCTATTCATTAATGGAATTGGTCTTGTTTCACCAATTCCTATCACTGTAATACAGTTGTTACTTTCACTCGAATTCATCTCTTGCGTGTACTAATTTAAGGTAAGACCACTTTGCTGATACTTTTTTCCATTCCCCCCATGTTTATCTCTTTATCCAACTATTTAACTCCATCCTTCGTTTTAAGACCTCACTTCACCGGCTTAATTTAGATATTAAGGTGCAGATTACGCTATTAGTCTCCAAAAAACAGTTATTTGTTGATAATACTCATTTTCTCACGTACAGTTTACATACTTGTCTGTAAGCCACTTATGTGAGCAGCTCATATCATTTCGCAGCTGCTTGAACCTAAGTCAATGGAGGAAAGGGAAAGTAGCCTAGCAGTTGAAGTGCTCGACTTTCAAACATTAGGTCACAGGTTCCTACTCATCTAGACTTACTTCTGTTCAGTCACTTAGGTAGAATTACTAACCCTTACACATAAAGTGTAGCTCAAAGCTGAAAATCCAATCCCGTACTTAAATAGTGTATCAAGTAGTCAGTCATCAACAAATATTGCGTCACTTTAATAATTACTCTGAATAAACATCTTCCTGGTTCCCAGCTATCAAATGGGATATCAGTACTTTGTTCTTACCGTAGGAGCCAAGTGTTTATGTAGAATTTACTGTATTTTGCATAATTAAATCTATTTTTAATGCCAGAGATTTTTGGAAAGTTTCAAATTTTATAGTGTACGTCACGAACTGACTTTATTCTGAAGTCATTTTGTAATGTAACCTATAAAGTTCAATCGACTTTGCCTTCCAATCAATCTAAATAACTGCACGTATCATAATTATAATGCTACGACTGTAAATTGTTGTCAGTAAAAGCGACTAGTTCCTGCAGTTATTATATCTCAACGAAAATCAACTAACTACCGTCTGGTTAAAATCGATTTCTTTTTTATCAGTGTGTTTTAAGGTGTGATGATCTTGTTTTCTCCAACTGAACTTTTAAGGTGGACATGTTGGCATCCCAGCTCAGTCGAGTTCGTCAAATGCTTTCAGAAGAACGTGAACGTCGTCTTGCTATAGAAGCGGAACTGATATCTTCAGGTGGTTTTAATTATCAATCCAATGAATCCTTCACCTACCACAATTACGATGATAACGATGGTTTTGATGAAAACAGACCATGTGTTTTTAAAGACCTCACGAAACTTACATGCTTAAACTTTAATACAGCTGCGCCAGATTTATCTAATGACGATTCAACTTTACGTGAACCACATCAAGCGTCAAACTCCAATGTGTCAGACTCATCAGAGCCGAAATAATTATATCGTAATTATTGTGCATCATGCTGCAATCCTTTTTGCACAGAACATCATTTCCGCTACGACAGCCCCCCGGTGTTCCACTCAATATGAAAAAAAACCAGTCGTTTCACAGCTGATTTCCTATAATTATACTTACGGGCTAGCAATTTACCATGGATCATTTATCAAATGATGGATTTTTGTTATCAATGAACACTAATGTGTTTCATTCAAACCACTATGTATGCATTTTCTGTCTTGTTTGTTCTTTTCTTTTCTACATATTTTTTTGCATAGTATACAGTATGACGACGACTACAAATCTTTTTTATTCTACTTCCTTTAATATTCAGATGAACTGTATGATGTCTTTCAAGCAGAGAGTAATAATTCATCCATTCCTTTGTTTTCAGCTGTTTCCATTAACGAAAATCGATCTGTCTTTCAAAAAGTATAATAGTAATGACTTTCATTATTCTCAACCTAAAATACTGATAAAGCTTCACATTATTTTTTACATAAATTGATTTCGCAAAAATATCCTACGTCTCATTCTGTTAAAGACTTCTAATAACTGATTTATCCACCCTAAAATTGCCATACGGTTACAATGTAAACAGATACTATATACGAACTTTTTTCATTAGTTAAAGCGGTAAATCCTCCCTTTATCCGTATAGAATAATCTTAATTTATATCGTGCGACCGTAGTTAGAAGAAATTGACCTATGGTAACTGTTCCAGTTTGGTTGAACAAGTTATCACATCCAAAAATCTGAAGACAGGGTGTTGTGTCGTAGTTCAAATTGTTATATGCAGTCCAAATTAGGTAAAATATTTATGACGGACACTGAAGTGAGGACAATTTCGCCAGTAGTAATAGCGATAGGACAGTAGCCAAAAAGGTAAAGCCGATATGTTAAAATTATGAAGTGTTATAAATTATGGGTGAGACTATAATTTATGGACGACCTTTGAGCGACGCTAGACTGACCTTGAGAGCGTCCATCTAATAACCAGGACAAATGAGGGTTATAAACCTATGTGAAGAATTAGAATTATGATTTACAGTTGATGATTCAGGTTAGAAATTAGATTTATGGTTTTCATCGCAAAACTGACATTAGTATTAATGCCAAAACTCTATTTAGCCAAATGAATGAGTGAATTTCACGCCAAAATCCGAGACGTTATCTTATACGTGGTTGGTTCTTCCATAAATTATAATCTCGCCGAATTATGATTTATAGGAAATGATGAGCAGTAGTAGAGAAAGAAAGAGCCAAAAAATGGAGATAAGAAAGGTTGTAATAGAAAATGTTTTAGACATATCAAAGAAACAGGTACAGAATGTAAGGGAAACCATTCTTGCAATAAATGGCCCTCACCTCAGCCTTATGACCGTTTGTTTTAGAATTGATGCTGTCGGTATCTAACCTTTCAGAAATTGATCCACCAACAGATCCTATTATTGACTTAGAATATACAGATGACAAAATCTTGTTTGCTGAAGCTGACCAAGTGCAGCTCTCTGATCGCCTTGAGCTGCACTGTAAGCATATTTGGGTTGCAAACGGTGCTTCAGTAGTGACTTGCATCAACGCCCGAAGTAATGATAGAAAGTCGATCACTACTCAACTTGTAAGTTCTATCATCCTTGGTGGATTCATATCTCATGAGATCTTGGGATGGATTCGGAAATCCCGATGAGTCTTTGCCAACTTACATCACTTGTGGTGTAGGCGAGATGTCCATGTATCAACCAAAGGACAAGTTTTCCATACAGCGATTCGTTGTTCTATTATATGAATGCGAAACACGGTCCGTTGGAAGAGACGATATGCATAGGTTACTAAAATTTGATCAGATATCTTTGAAGCATTGTTCGTGTATTTTAGGACCAACAAGTGAGCAATGTTGAAGTTAGATGCAGGGTATTGGGTAAAAATTGCAAGTCAGTTGACGATGTAGTAAGTATGCATTGCGTATGCTCAACCACTGTCTACCTCGATGTGCGATGAGGGCTGGTGTAGGAGTACGTTAGAAAGCTAAGGATGGCCAAACCAAAACGTGGCATCAGCCCATTGGCTGTTGAAAAGTATGATTAGAGATGCAGGACCTTTAGGCGTGGTCTGGGAGATAAACTCTATCAGTTCCCTGAGACTCTGAGTGACATTGTACATAAACATTAACAGTGGCATAAATACATTCATTTTCCGTCGTTCCTTAGATCCTGAGTTTGAAAATTATCTCATACTTTTTGTACGTAAATCGATTACCTCCTCAAGTCATATTGCCAGTGCCTAGTATGTTCTATTACCGCTGCTATTACTACTACTATCACTCTGGCTTTTGTCTTGATAATTTTGTCTCATTGTGCATATATGGTAGGTTAACTTGAACTGAAGAACGTATGGTAACAGGCCCTACTTTAGTTATGATTGACCGAGAAAATAGAGATTAAGCGTACATCGAGCCAATCCGTGACCTTATCATTTCCCAGATGCATGTGTTCCTTACCGCGCATACTTCCGCCGTGGAACTTATATGGCTGAGAAAAACACAAATTTCATGCAGTAGTACTGCGATCCTCCTATTATCAAACCGTACATGTAGACTAAGTAATAATGGTGCAACAATCGTATGATGCTTAGAAAACTTTATATGACTTCTACTCTCTGTGCTCATATTTACCGGTCTCATGGTCAGATGTAGAGTTATATCTTCTTACAGAAATCCAAATTGTTTAGTTAAAGCATCCGAATAATTAGAAAACAAACAATTTAGTATAAATTTGATTGATAGACTATCCCAATAATAAGAAAAATAGTATCTTCCATAAATCAACATTTTATTTAACAGAAGCAAGAAAAGTATTTCTGTACGAATAATTTATCCAAGTTAAACTAATGGTCTTTGCCATGACAGTGACTTTTTTTTCATTTCAACCAGCTGTTTACTGTATCTTTCGTCATAGTAATCGATTTACCAAAAACAGTAGGTTGTACTTGTACAGGATGAAGACGTGTAATGAATTGTTTTAACTCCAGAAAACTACTATGTTCACTATATGATGCACCTATTTTAAATATACAAAAACAATAAGTCATTATTTTAATATAGAAATATTAGAAGCATTATTACTACTAAATTATGTCGAAATAAAACTTCCGGAATTCCTGCTATTTACAGAAGATATATTTTGATTTATTAAAGAGAAAGTTAGCTAGATAAATAATAGAGATTGACATGAGTTGAGTATAGTTTTTATCATGAAATGACCCAAGGTGGATAAATATTCAAGGCAAAATGGTGTTTTATAGCATACTTCGAAATTCCCCAGCAGTACTACCTGTTCCAAAAGAATAACAAAAAATATAAACTCACTGAGATTATATTAAAAATTGAAAGCCCAGATATTTCGCATACTCCACAAAAACTGTAAACATACATTTCTATTAAATTGTCCCAAATCAATATTACTAAAAATAACAACTAATCAATTACTCCCCTATCTATATTTATATTAGTAATAATTGTATCCTTATAGTTCCAATATGTATAGTAATAATTCATGACACAATTAGTGTATCTTAATAAGAGTTTTAATTAAATTTTGTTAGCTAAATTAAGAGTTGAAGCATTTCATATCGATCTGAATTATGGGATACTAAATCACCTCACTATGTTAACTATGGGAGGCGAAAATAAATTCATTTATTGTTGCATAAAACCATACTCAAAAATACAGCCGTCAAAAGGATGATATTGAAATCGGGATCCAAAGCTAGGTACTTAAGTGGTTTCGTGATAGAGAAGAATCTTAGTCAATGAACACTAGTATTTTCGATTCGGATGAGTGATATCCAGCTATCTAATCCAAGTTACAGTTCATAATGCTTAGCGTCAAAAAACAAATCGGAAAGAAACAGTTGTCCGATCCCTCTGGAATTTAGTGTTTCAACTAAAATACACTATAGTTACCACTCTGACCTCCGAATGAGATAATAACTGGCAAATTAAGATTATAATATGAAATAATCGAGTTTAAAATAAGAACCTATGAATTATTGGTTCAAAACACTTTAAATACATAACAAAAATTAAACTTCGTTTTGTAAGTAATACATACTAGCTGGGAAAATAAATTCTCACCACTAAAAGTATTTCACATAACTGATAATAGAAATCGTTTGACTATTCCTGTAAGATATCAATACAATTTATGAAAATAGTGCAAGAAAACCTCGAAGTCAAACAAGTAACATTCTTTATCACAATACCAACGCTTAAATTGTTAATTCTAGTATCCAGAAAGTTCTACAGAAATAAGAGTGCGGTATTACAATAATCAAACAGAGATAACTATAAGAACAAAGCTATGATGTACTTTGGAGAAATTTGGTTGGTGTTTTCAAGACACACGAATCAGCTACACAATTATTGTTCTATCAAATTGTTTTCCTCCTGTCCGATGAACTCCGTTAGAATACACAACAGTTCGATATATTTTTTCTCTGTTTTTACGGTTATATACACGAATCTATACTTATATTTTTATCAAATACAAGGATAACAATCTTTCTGGGTTTTTTTCTGTAAATTCACTGGTCACAACCAAAGACTAGACATCATAATCCAAGAAAAGTGTGATTTCCATGAATACATGTGTTCGTTATGTTGATTGCTACAAGTGACCAAATGTACAAAGTCAGTCAGTCAGTAACAAACAAAAAATAAACACGTGAATAACAATTAAATTAACAGTGCATTAGTGATAATATCAAACAAAAAAGTATCACGTTACCTTAATTATTAAGTATCTAATTCATTTGAAAGTCATCAAAAAGATGACACATCACATATGCTCATTCACAACCAATGAGTAATATAATTTTGATGGAAATCTACTACAATACAACTATTACTAGATAGCGAAATCAACTTTCATTGGTTATAAACTGTTTATTTCAATGGAATACGAAATATGTTCGTCTAACCATGTGATGTTACACCAAGCAGTACAGTAATTAAACAACCTTTATACGCATTTTGGATTGCTGAAGAATGGTTAAATCTCAAAATAAGAAAAGTTCGGTGCATCACTTGTAGAGTCGGATAGAGGTTTGTGTATGATACAATCTCTTATATTCCACTGATGTGATAAACGATTGCTGAAAGTGTTTGATATATAAAAATAACAGGTAGTCTGGTGTTTATTTCAAGTTTAAAACCATTAAAAGTATATTGTAAATTTGTATCTGTTAGACTGACTGAGATACATTACGTTCACTGAGTTCATTTAGAACTGAAAGTTCACTTTAATTAGGATTAAGTAAATAAACGGATTAAAGATGTCACTGATTATTATATCCCCATGAGAAAATATTGTTACTTGCGTAGATTGTTGCTAACCTGTTACATAGTCTTACAGCTTTACTCCCCTGATATAAAACATAAAATTTAAACTAATACATCACTGTACCGTGCTTCAAGTCGTTTCTATTCATAAGTGAATCAAATGACATTAGTATCGTGGTTTTGTATAGATTGCTAAAATTTCATAGCTTATATTATGGAGTGATTTTAATAAGACCTCCACTGAAAACCGGAAGGCACTACACAGTTGTTCCGAACCAATATGGAACTCCTCAGCAGTGGGCAACCAAATCGAGTATAAGACAGTTAATCACTGTAGACAATATATGGTCGCGCAATATCGCAATTGTTTGAATTTAGATACATACACCATTGGATCCCAGCTCAGTGGTCTAGAGTTTAGGCGTCCGAGCGCGAGACCGAGGGTCCTTTGTTCGAGCCTCGGTCGGGTTGTGGGTGCGCACTGCCAATGGGTCCCATACTAATACGAAACTTTTGTTTAATGCTTTCTAGTTTTCAATGGTGGTATCAAACCAGTTCGTGATGTAAATTATCTAATGACAATAATTTACGGATGAATATAGCTAAATAACTATGATGTCACCTGATCGATGGTTAACCTAATGGCAATCGAGAACTTAACAGATTCAAGATCTCTCCACTTGTCTAGACATATAATCTGATATTCAAAACTAAGGGGAATTAACTGACTGAAAGCAAATACCTGAAAGCTATTTTGCATCACGTGATTTATGTTTGTTCAATTCTCAAACACAAGATGGCTGACGAAGTCAAAATAAGATTCCCTACTTTTTAATAGACTGATATAGAGTAAACCAAGCTGATTCACATTCTCTGGAATAATATTTTATGTTAACAGTCAGTTGTAATCCCGATAAACTCTGAAAGATTTTTGAAACCTACATATGCAACTGGGCAAAGGCAAAGATAATGGAGACATTTAGACAGATCAAATTTTAATGAGAACTGAAATAGTTTATGCTCCAAAATTCAACTAAAGCATATTTATGCACAGTTCTTTTTCATCAATCTCCGTTCCATAACCGATAAACTTTTAGACAACTGAGGAATATGATTGTTTTAACCTAAAGATTAGTTCTTACATAATCAACGTGTGGATTGACTGAACCAATATTACTCGCTACAGCATTTTTCTACCTCAATTTTAGTGACTAATCATAATATCAGTGAACGAAATAGCTTGTGATAGTTTCAAAATTTACATTTTGCTGATTTGCTTTGAAATGCAGAAATAAGAATCATCTTTGATGGTGTTTTATTATTAGTTAACAAGTAAAATGATCTTCCTACTGGGCAAAGTGAAAGTCCATTGAATCTGTTAAACTAGACTGAAATATATCATACTAACAACATAGAAAACGTTTCTTTTTCAATGAAATTTAGGATAAATCTTACCAATTAAGAAGTTGAATCGTTTACTAGCATCCTAACGAATTTCTGTGTCAGCTATCATTCGTATGCATCAGATAAAAGTATAATTTATTTATCTCAGTTAATAATAAATGTTGAAACTTCATCAGTAGTTTACATTTAGCAACCTAAAACCGATAATACACACGAAAATTATTCAGATAAGAAGGTTAAGGAGATTATTTCAATTTAAAGGTAGTTTTTCTTATATGTTGACCTCAATTAGGGAACTATTAGAAACAGACAGGGCGGTGGAGTAGTGTGTTCGGGTTCTGTGAGATTATCATAACCCTTGATTAGAGATAATTGATGGCATCATTCATAATCAATAACAATAGAGGAGACCCACTGAATCTTTCGCTCCCTTAGATCTTTAGTTTGGAAGCCAGTTCACAATTTCTATTCCACGAATGCATTCTCCCCTCTCGAATTATATTGTCTATTAAGAGGACTGGTTGAAGAAACTGCTTTCTGTAAGTCTGAAACTGATCGACGGTAATAACCATCGACCCTGCCAAGTATCAATAACAAAACCAGAAACCCATTTCCATCCGTAGCCCTTCTAATATTACTACCGGTTTCAAGTTCAGATAGGAAAGTACTGTTGGACAAAGAATTAGCAACCTCATGCCTTACAAAACAACCCTGCCACAAATGCCAATCACGACAAACAATTTAAACCATTAAAACTCTGTCATTTGAGTTGAAAGATCTTCATTTAGAAGAATTATGGCCTATGCCGCTCCACAAGGGTAAAAAGAGTATGTCAGTGAGTTAAATTCAGAATCTAGTGATCTATACATTTTAAATTCAGTTTATTCACGAGATGATATAACCATCATCCAACCTCTGACTCAATATAATCGAACACTATTGATTTAACGAAATCTTTTCACTCCTATTCTATTTGTAGGCAGTGTGAGTATTTGTAAGCACATATTAAAAATATATGTATTCATAGATATTCCAATATGTTTGAATTAATAAAAAGACATTTAATTAATTTGTCTACAAATAACCATCAGTAGATGATCATTTCTAAATTGCATTAACTTTCTTCGCAAGATCAAATAAACTTTACAATAAATATTTTAAACTCTTCATTTACTAATAAACAAGTGAGTTGATGAGTATCTTCAAAACATTATAAAAGTGTCAATATGATAGGTAATCCAGTTTGACTGAAAATACATAATGAAAACACAATAGAATTTCATTTTAATTCACTAAATTGAAATGAGAAAATAATAATTACAATGAAATAAATGATTTTAGATGAATTCTTTCAGTATAAAAAAACAAACAAACTAGAATTACCTTTAATAATCAACATTTTTAATTGATTTTTAAGTAACCATTTTTATTAGTATACAGATATTGTATTTCAGTATGTTTGTTTGTTTATTCGCATACATCCATGAATGAATGTAATGCAATGCAATGTATGTAATGTTAGAGATAATATCGCTAATTCCTTGTCTGTCTATCTATCTATCTAACACTGTATAATTACTAATGTGAAATATATTTATTACAAAGTGATAATGACCAAAAATAAATTACATAAATGATTCAAACAAAATATATTGGCTCAAATTCAAATGTGATTTTCAATAGATGTACTTCAACAGTTAACTCATTTGTGTCATATACACGTATATATATATATGTATATTTATGCTGTATGTAGGAATGTTAGTAAATCAGCACAATAACATTAATTTATATAGAATAATACAAATTTTATTTTATTTTGTTAGTACTCTCTCATTACCTACTAACAATCTGTAATAGTTCAATATCGAAACTTATAAAAAATAATAGAATTTAACATACTTTATGAGATATGATGTTGATCAAAAGTTAGTGTGAAAATGTATCAGTATAGTGTAGTAAAGTATTATTTTTTTTAAAAAAAACACTTTTTTTCTTTCATGAATGATTACATTAAAATGTTGAAACTGAATATTATGTGTGTGAAGGGAGATTTCGGGGTAATCGATGAAATGGATAACAAAAATGGCTTATGGATCAATTTTAAAAGTGATTAGGTAAATGAGTATCAAAGGTTAAAAGATAATTACGAATGGTAATCAGTAATGAATTAGACTGATTTATTTGCAAAACACAACCATGAATCGGAAAAGATTTAAAGCAAAGTGTAATCAGATAACAGCAAAGAATTTAAAAATAAACTCGTGCTTCCAGACAAAAACTTTGTCATTAGGTCAGTAATGATAATAAAATGAAATGACCTAAACATATATGTACATAAACATGCTTAATTGCAGTTGAAGTTTTAATTACTTGGTCAAATCTTGTTCCAGGTTGTCGAAAATTCAGGTAGTCATACAGAATTGATAGCCTATGAGATCAATACATAAACTTGGGTGTGATTTGTGAAATGCTTAAAGAAAATGAAAAAAGGTGTTTTTGGAAAACCAACTCAAATGCAGCTGATAAGATTAAGAAACTTGCTAATGACCTTATCAGGATACATGTAAGCAATTTGACAAGGATGATAAGGTAAATACACTTAACCACTAAGTATTTATCAATTGCACACACCTTAAGTACACAGTTTTAGAATACTTTTACGCGAAGATTAAAATAAAGTAATATACGTAAATATTATGAAAAATGCATCAACTAAAATTAGGTAGCAGAATATCTTGAAACCGATTGTCGATATACACGACAAAACAAAGGTGAACTGACAATGACAACTAACATTAATGACTAAAAAAATTATTTAAGAACAAGTTAAAAGATGACTAATTTTGCCTTCGATCCTAAAATAAATGATTATCAACATTCAACAAACCTCTGTATTGCTCTATTTTAGATACTGATCCTGAAAATAAAGAAATACAAAATATGAACGTGTTCTAAACATGTAACCATCAGAAAACTTACCATAAATGTGAATGTCGCCCTTTTTCTGTTCCAAAACAATGCCATTCCGTGGAGGTTTCATTGATGTTTGAGTATTATTTGACTGCCGATGAGACCAACCAGTTGGGCGCCAGCCTAGAATAGACCTCAATTTAGAAAGGGTTGATGAACTGTGAAAAGGATCAATCGGTAATCGATTGCCCAATTTCTTTTGATATTCAACGAGGCCTGTCACATTCAATTGCTGCATAGGTAGAACATGAAGTTGAGCTTTGTGAGAACTATCAACGACATATTGAAGCAGTTCTTTGCATATAGTACAACCGCCTTGTGCAGCTAGCTTGATTAAACGATTTTGATTGTTTGGCAACCAAACCTTTAGGTTTAGTTTAGAGGCAAGACCTGGTCGCAGATTAATAGACATAAGAAATAAAACTCAATGAAAAATAAAACACAAAACTTAGCAAACAATCATATATATATATACTACCACACAGAACCTATGAACCAAACAGCTTATTTTGTAGCATAACAAGCACATAAGAAAAGTGCTTCACCAGTTACAGGCATAAAAACATGGAATACATGATGATGATGATTTTATGATCGTATATCGATTTAATTGTTCAAGTTAGACGCCAATTCTATTCGGGTATCCATTACACCAAGGTAAGATGAGTAGCAAAAAAGGCATCTTCAAAATGATAAGATAGGAAAAAAACGTTTGATACCGTGAGCCGTACGCAGAGTCATAAGCCAATTATTTTGTACTCACAAACAACAGTAACCAGTGTCTGAATAACTTAAGTAAAGTGGTCAAAAGAACTTAATGATAGTTAGCATGAAACACTGAACCTAGGTCTCCTGATGAAAGGCACTCGTCAACAATATAGATGGCACTTAGAGATTTCATCAGCCCTAAAACATTTGAAAACTATGTTGTCCAGTGCTACAACCAATGGCATTGCCACTAAGCTATCTGGACTGTGACTAACCTCCCGTAAGACTGAGATGAATTAACTAACTAGCCACTACGGGATATGTTGTACGGTATTCAATACTGACCGGGTTTCACGGATGAAGTCTGCACGGATTCAAAAAGTTCGTTTGGCTTTTGCCAACTTACGTCACCTATAGTGAAGGTGAGATACCCGTCTATCAATTAAAGGACGAGTATACTGCGCGGTAGTTCGACCTGTTTTACTTTACGGCTGGGAGATGTGGCTATTAAGAGTAGAAGATACTTGTAAGCTACTAGTATTTGATCACAGATATCTTAGAATTATTGCCAGTATCTTCTGGGATCACCGGGTAAGTAATTGTGAGGTTAAACGCAGGAGTATTAGGGAATGATGGTAAATCAGTTGATGAGGTTGTGAATCTTCATCGACTGAGATGTTTGGGCCACGTGTTGTGTATGCCTGAACACCGATTACCACGACGCGCAATGCTGACTAGTGTTGGAGATATATGAGAGGAAGGTAGTGGTGGCCAAATTAAAACGTAGCATCAGTCGACAAAGTCACTAACTTCTGGTCTGAGCCAAGTTGGTAGATGTAGACTACCTGATTGGAGTCTGCACGACTCTCATAACCAGTGACTGGAGACTGGGTGAAATGACTCAGAATCGATCACGATGTTGTAGGTGTATATAGTCGTTGTCTTCCTTTAAACTGTGAGATTATAATTGCTTCATACTTTTCTTTCTACGAACCAATTCTTTTTCCCTATATCATATCCTTAGATGCAATATTTATTTATATATATTACTAACATATTACTGCTATAAATTTGGTTCACCTTGTTGTGCTAATCAAGTGTTGCAACCGATGCATATAAGTGCCTGGTCCTACTCTGTTACTAATTGACTGATGAAGTCAGGAAAAAAGGACAGGGTCTAAATGGTTTGAAGATCGAAAGGTCTGTTGCAGGAATCCAGTAACAACACTTAAAACATAAGTATAAGGAATCGTTACCAAGGTTTGACTTGATAATTTCAAAGGAATTGAGCATTGGTTAGATTGTTATAAATAAAAAATAATATATTTGTAATATCCCAATGGGAGGAAGTGGCTTACACTGAGTCATGAAACGTCAGAAAATTCAATTTTCCTACTCATTGTGATATTACAAATATATTATTTCTCTATTTATAAGTATAGGGAGATGGATATACGTATCAAACTGGTCGTAGTAAATTACGAAAACAGATCGACACTAGAATACCGACGTAGAATTGCACATAACTGCATAGTTTCGAAAGGTGCGTTATTAACATTTTAAAATGAAATTCAAACATTCTCAAGGACCTTCGAAGCATCCGTCTAAACAGACTATCCCTCTAGCTGTTCGAAATAGACGTACGACACAACATGACTAGGGAGGTTTAAAAAACTTGTTACCGAATTCGAAGAGTCACAGTATTTGTTGAGGGTAGATCCTTAATTAGATATTTATAAAACTTCTTTTTTTATATGTTGTAAGGCAAAGGAACAGACAGCGAATGGAATACTTTTCACATCATTAAAAATGTAATTTCCTCTTCTAATGCTCACCTTTATTGATATGAGCCTTTTTGGTAGTCACCATTTTTAACCGCATCCTTTCGGACGGATAACCTAATGGTTTGGTTGTGAATAAATTCTTTTTTAAAATCTTTTAAATGTGCCAAATCAAACCAATCAATAATATAATTTATCCTAAAACTATTACATCATAGTCAGGGAATTATTTTTGGATTATAAGATGTGTATGGTACAAATAGTGTATTAAGAAAAGCACGTAAGTGAGGAATCTTTATACATATAATAGACCTAGATAAATTACCATCATTATTGCGACTATGTACAGTAGGAGAGATTTATAGGGTGGCCGCTAATGGTGCGCATAGTTGCCTACTAACGAATATATATCGTAGTTATTTTTTTTAAACTGAAAAATAAACTCAACAGACATTGGACTGTCATGTAATATGTTAAGTTGTGATTTACGAACTTGATGTTTACATACTAAATTTCCAGTTTAAACTATGGAAATGTGTATCAATTTAAGAAATCATCTACTTCTGATCTGAGTTATGTTAGATGGTGTAAACTTTATGACTGAAGTGTTTAAGTGACACGATTCAAAATCGATTGCAGAGGGCCAAATGCAATTTCTCTGAAATCTCGAGCGTTTATATAATCTTATGCTTTTTATTTCACCATCTTATTTCCTCTTTTCAAGCCACACATTTTTACGTTGTTTTCGATTTCCCCTTCTGTTATTTCGATATAGTGTAATTAGATCTAAACACAATTGTGCTAAGTTCTATGCTGTTGACGAGTAATGACTAACAGACGATGAATCTATTGAATTTAAACCGATCAATCAATTAATAGTATCCTTAAATCCTCAAACTATAATATAACTCCAGAAATAAGAAATGAGACTAGACATGACTAATGAGCCTGAAACATTATAGTAGTTTGAAATTTGGAAGAAATAAGAACCAAGTTAGTGGAAATACATCTAGTCTTTAACTACGATGTTCAATAACTATCAAATGAACACCGATTATTTACGATTAAAGGCATCTCCAACTAAGATAACAACCTTCCTAATACTTTCTCAGTGTTTTATGGTTGTTGGTTTGTTTTTCTACTTCAAGGTAAGCAGTAGCTTAAGGTAGTTACAGCACTTGAATTTCAACCATGAGGTCACAAATTTAATCCTAGCTCTGACTACTTTGGCTTGGGCAACCTCACATAAAACGTATACATGAAAACCAAATACACGAACCAATACTCGTACGGCTTTGAAGAAAATGTAACAAATTCACAATTAACATGGTATTCTAATTGATTTAGTTGAAAGTTTAAATATAACAGTGATCAACATGTAGATCTTTGTTTAGAAAAATAAATAGGTACTATGAAAATGGAAAGTTTTCTATTATTGTGGTGAAATGCGAAAATCTACGTGATTTCTAACACACACACACAGCGCTTTTATTCCCAATGGAATATTTATGAGTAAATTGAAAGTAAGAACTTTGTAGAACTATTTGTGAATAAGAAGAAAAAGTAACTAAGATAATGCAACTTACAAAAAGTTTTGTTTACACTCAGAACTGCTAGTTTTACTGGGATTTCCACCAGTTAAGTGTCATTGTATATAAAATTACAGGGAATAAAGCGATCATTTAGGTATTTTTTTTATGAAACAATAAGACATGAAGGAAAGTTTCAAAGATAATATAATAAATGTCCAGTTGAATTTTCGTTTCCAATAAGTTAAAATTATGATTGGATAACGCAGTGAAATATTCTTCATTCTTTCTCATTTGTTAACAAGTTTGTTTGTCAATGAACAAATTGGTTGATTTAAACAAATCCTTCGAAATTATCAAGTCAAACCTTGGTGATGACACTTACAAATCCTTCATTTGTATTTTGGTTGAATGTACGTGTGTATTTCGTCATAATGATGAACATTTTATGTTTACTTTCCATGGGTTTCAGTTTCATTTAAAGACGAAAACAAACAATGGTGAATATTAGTGAAACATATCACTAAATATTTGGTACAGATGAGGAATTGTTCAAAATTTATAAAAAATAAACAACCTTTTAAGCGTTAAGATTTTAAACATGATATGAAGTCGCCTTATTAACATTTTGAACACTTCTTTATAAAACAAAAAGATCCTCAAATTGTTATATCCTAGTGAAGATTAAATTACGAGTAACTTCCGAGAACTATTAATGGACTAATATTTTATATGTTATTGTATCATTATTCTGTAACTGTACTGTGTATATCCATATTCCTCTTATTTTAAGCTTCATTTTGACCTATAGATTATTATTGTACGATTTACTGTTCTTAAGTCATACATAGTTATTTAATTACCGTCTCCTACGTTCACAACTACTTTTTGGCCTGATGTTGTATAAATGTTATTTCCTATTTTATGGTGTGATACGGTCTGTTTGGCTGGTATACAAACCAGGTATGTTTGAAATAAATGATTCGATTAGTGGAAGCTGTTATTGGTGTTCTGGAATTAACTGGACGGGCTAGGCGAGTAAAGAACCAGTAGGACACTAGGCTGATCAGACCAGTCGAACGTCATTAGTTCAGGTACAGTACAAGAGTGAACAAGCCGTATTTCGATTGGCGAATAAATTACGTGATAAAAAACAGCATTTAAAGTCACAACACAAACCATTTTTGCATCATATAAAAAAAGCCTGATACAACCTCTATAATGAATACCGAACAAGAAACCACGTTTAAATGTGCACTGCACCGACCAGTTCAAGTGCACAAAGTAGTTTAATAGGATATAATTAATTTGCTTTTAAGTAAAAAAGTCTTTTAAATCGCTGTTATTCATTGTTTGGAATTCATCACGAACT